ATGTTATTTTAATTTTTATTTTACGTGTTTGTTTGCAAGATTATTAAGCATGAATTAACTTCACTTTTAATATATACTTAAGGCAATCAAGTACCCATACCCCAAATATTTCCCTCTGTTTCACAAGACTTAGCGTGAGTTACAGAAATTGCTAGTGAATTACTTTTCATGTTACTTTTGAAAAGTAATAGAAATGTAAAAATATATTTACATTCTCTAGTCTTTAAAAACACACTTAAATTTTCTCTTTCCCATGATTATATTTCTTTGTGGTCATCAGATTTCTCAGAACTAATTCTGGTTTATCTAGCAAGATGGTTCTACTCTACTCAAAAACTACTCAGTTTGAAGATTTGGGTTTTAGTAGCTTTAGAAAAAAAATCCTGTAAGAGCAACTCACAAGTTAGAAAAGATTTGCAGACGTAATCATTTATATTGGTAGAAAAGTATCATTTCATATGATCCCCTTTTCTGACTTTATCTGATTGTTTTCACGTCTCTAGTCCCATGTACCGTTTCTGGGTTCTACCTCAGATGGAATCTTTTTCATTATAGGAGGCTAGAGGTGACCCTAGCAAAGCTCTTTCTTTGATTTGTGTAGCCTCCTACCTCTTAAGTGTCTTAAGTTGCAGTAATTAATTGAAGCTTTGATATATTGAATTGCCTAATTATAAACTAAGCTTGTTCTATTTTACGTGAAAAAAAGGAAAAGAACTACTAAAGATAGCTAAGCAAACAAATTGCAGGACATATGGAGTAATATTTTCTTCTTGGTCTCAACTTATGAGAGCAGTTGTTTCTAACAAATTATCTTAATATTTTTCAGTCTAACAATTTAAATATTTTGTTGACCCACTCAGCATTGGAACCCTATTTGGCCTTTTATTTTTTTTAGATAGGGACTATACAAAGGGGCAGAGTCATGCTCCCTGTTCGCAACAATTCCCTCTAAGACCAGGATTCAGCAGGATAACTGAGCATTAGGGAACGTAATATTGATTCTTTCTCTAGTGGACTAGATCAGGAGGTATAAGACAGAGCTTTGTGGATTTAGTCATATCTTGATTTTAGAATGTGCTTCTTAAATGCGAGGGAAAAAATCTAAAAGGCCAAGGTCTGTGCCAGGAGAGTTTGAAATATATAACCTATGATTGGTCAGATATATAATATTTTAAGATGGAATAAGTTTGTTCTTAAAAGCCAGTGAAAATCAACTTTTTAAGTAGCCAATAATTACTGAAGCCTTTTGATCAATGTGTCTGCAAGAATGCTGGTTCAGAGACCTTTAAAAAGCCAAATATAAAAATCTTTCAGTTTCCAGCCAGTCTTCTTTCCCTCCCAGGTCAGTTAAGCCGCCAGTACTTGAATCCGGGAATTGGCTGTCTTCGCGCCCTGGATGTCCTCTAGGACTCTGGGTCGCCTACCAGCCCTGAGCCTCTTCTTGTTCGTCCCCAACGCTGTGCCAATCTTCTTCCCCTCCCAGCTGGTAACCCCCCCTCCCCCACCAGGTACCTGTCAGGACATGGCCGCTTCATAAGTGGGTGTGACTTCGGTAGAAGTGGGTGTGACCTGATTTTAGGCGAACGCACACATGGCCGCAGGTAGTTTAGTAATACCAGGAAATCTAGTGTAACATCTCAGTCCCCATACCTCCACACCAACATGAAGAAACAATGCAAATCCCCACCACGTGGGGAGGACGATAAAAAGAGTTCAGAAAACTCAGTAGGTGCTACTCACCTAAAAGACCTCTCTGAGAAAGAATTCAGATATGAAGTAATGAAGATGTTCAATGAACTCAATGAAACAGTCAGACAGATATCCAGCAACATGACAGAAACAATTGAGAAATTATAGGAAGAAATCAGAGCAGGAATTAGAAAGCTATGCACAGAAATGTCACGAATAAAAGATTTTGTACATAAAATAAAAAATTCAGTCTGTGCCCTCAACAGTAGAATGGATACAGCTGAAGACAGAATCAGTGAGCTGGAAGATCATCTGTACCAAGCCAACAGGCAAAAACAAACAATGGCAAGAGACCTCAAAATAGCTCGAGCAAATCAGAGTCCTAGGAGATGATTCCAAGATGAACAACATTAGAATCATTGGAGTACCAGAAGTTCAGGGAAACAATCCCAATGAAAAAAACACGGTTAAACGAATCATTGCTAAAAAATTCCCAGAGCTGGACAATGCAGCCATTCAAATTTAAGGAGCCCGAAGGGTACCAGCTAAAAGAGATCCTAACAAAAACACTCAAAGACATATCATAGAATGATGCATGCTGCTGATAGAGACACAATACTGCAAGCATCAAGGTCAAAGAAGGAAATCATATACAAAGGAGCACCCCTTAGTCTCACTGCAGACCTATCAGAGGAAACCCTCTAAGCCCAAAGGCAATGGTGGGATATAGCAAAAAAACTCACTGACATGAATGCTTCACCAAGAATACTCTATCCAGCTAAACTCTCACTCAAATTCCAAGGAACAGTACACTATTTTCTAGATAAACAGCAGCTCAGGAACTTCTTATACTCAAAACCAAATCTAAAAGAAGGGCTAAAAGGGCTACTGTAAGACAAGACAAACCCTACAAGCACAACAGACACTTACAGAAAGATGACACAAAACCCCATAACAATAATCTCTCTCAAGGTCAGCAGTCTAAATTCACCGATTAAGGGACACAGAGTGGCAAAATGGATTCAGAGACAGAATCCAGCATTCTGCTGCCTACAAGAAACTCATCTCAATAGTCAGAGCAAACACAGACTCAAAATTAAAGGATGGAAAACAATCCTGCAAGCAAACAACTCCCTCAAAGTGCTGGAGTGACCATACTAGTATCCGACAACATAAATTTCAGGTTGTAAAAGATTAGAAGAGACAGTGAAGGCCATTTTCTATTCATCAAGGGATGCATACAACAGGAAGAAACCACACTCTTAAGTGTGTACGCACCTAATGACGGAACAACTAAGTATTTAAAACAACTGCAAACAGATTTTAAGGCGGACATTGCAAGCAACACAGTAATAGCCGAAGACTTCAACATCGACTTATCACCTCTGGATAGATCAACAAGAACAAAACTCAGCAAAAGGACTTTCAGTTTCTTATTCTCATCAAGTATGTCTTTGGACACTGATTAGAAAAAAAATAACATAGGGTTCAAAAGTATGCAAGACTAGAGGCAATTGGTGCTGAAAGAATTCAGTGAGGTGGCAGTAGCCTGGGGAACACTCGGGGCCACTTTCTGATTGTTTAAAGAAGGTAGACTTTCACGAGGGTTTTTCCCCCTGCTTTTTGGGTGACACCTGGCGATGCTCAGGGATTACTCCTGGCTCTGCACTCAGGAATTATTCCTGGTGGTGATCAGGGGGATCATATGGGATGCTAGGGATCAGACTTGGGTCAGTTTTGTGCCAAGCAAACACTACCCACTGTACTATCGCTTCGGCCCCTTTCAGATGGTTTGTTTATTGATATTTTTTTTGTTCCTAAATATAAGGTGGTAGGCCAAATTAGCACGAGAACATCTGATACTAGTAGTTACATTTCTTTATATTTGGTATTCTCATATAAAAATATCTTTATTGATGTATAGTTTGACAACTTCGCCGATTCATCTAATGGTGTCTTATAGTACTTTTGTGAAGAACTCGTTTTTGATTTGTGTTATAAAATTTTCTAATTTCTAATGTCCAGTTCATTATCTAGGTATGTGTTTGACTGCAAGATAAAAGATGGATTTTGTTGTTGTTTTCGCACATAAATGTTGGCTTACTCTTTTGTTACTAGTATAATATTTAGAGCAAAATAAATAGTATCAAAGTGATTCCAAATGCACTTGATGTTTATATAAAGGGCTGGAGCAATAGCACAATAGGTAGGGCTTTTGCCTTGCACGCAGCCAACATGGCTGACCCGAGTTCGATTTCTCCATCCCTCTTGGAGAGCCCAGCAAGCTACCGAGAATATCTTGCCCGCACAGTAAAGCCTGGCAAGCTCCCCATGACATATTCGATATGCCAAACACAGTAACAATTGTCACAATGGAGACATTATTGGGCCCGCTCGAGCAAATCAATGAACGTCAGGACAGTGACAGTGACAGTTTATATAAAAGCACCTAGACAGATAACATAAAAAATAAAAAACTGATAGGACTATTATGAAACTATTAGAAAGAAAATACTTCCAAAAAGCTAATTGTTTTGGGGGGTAAAATTTGAGGAGTGTTGATTATTAGTTAAATAATAAAATAGAAAGTGATGGTGGTTTAAATAAAATTGTGACAAAAATACACTGCCATTTACGTATCATATTTTTATTTCTAATTTTTAAAAATCAAATTGTTTGGCATATGTGTACTTTTATATACACATACATATAGTATAGCACTGTACACTGTCCTCCCATTGTTCATCGATTTGTGCAAGCGGGCCCTGTAACGTCTCCATTGTGAGACTTGTTGATACTATAGTATATGTGTAATTATTTTATATGTCCACTAATCATATACCTATCTATATACAAATGATTAAAACCATCCCAGGTTCTTAGATTTTGGCATTTTGTGAGGAACCAGAATTTTTTAAAAACAATCTCAAAGATTATTTTAAAATTGTGTTATTTTAATGGGAAGATATTTAAACACCATGTCTACCAAATTTTATTATTTGTTTATGCTGCTGGGGATCAAATATATAAGGCAAGTACTCTATTGCTCAGCTACATACCAGGGGCCCTTAGCAAATTTGTGGACTTTTCCCGGTGAACATTATAAGAAATTACTTTATGACATGGGAAGTTGTATCACATGTAAATTAAAGTTTTTGTCTTACTTTTCCTCTGCTGCTAGACCCTACTCACTGTAAGGGAAAAAAATCCATTTGGAAAGTAATAAAATAGACATCAATCTAATAAAATAGTTTGGAAACTAAAGCCATAAAATTAAAAAAATTCTCATTATGTATAATTTTTTTTTACAGAAATGATTACATATTCAGTAAATCGGAGGAAAAAAGCATGGGATTTTAGCAACTGAAGATCAAATCAAGGTAATTATTAGATTATTGTTGCATATAATAAGTTACTAATTTCAAAGTATTTTAATTTGTATTAATTTAATTTGTATTAACATTTGTTTGTGATCTGTCACTGAAAATTCAGCCACTGTTAAGGGAGTTATTTGAGTTCTCTGTTTTGGTGGAGGATAGAAGGATGTTTATTGTGAATAAATTTATAAGTAATATAGCTCAGAGTATTTTATGTCATAAAGGAATATCCGACAGATTTTTTTTTGGTTTATTTTTTTTGGTGGAGCTCTGTGGTCACCCCAGCAGTGCTCATCGGCAGTGTTCAGGGTAACATATGTGCTACCTTGGATCAGGATTCCATACTAATGTTTAATTTCTCCACTTAAATATCATCAGTAGATTTAAGGGTATACTGCAGGTTATGAGACTAAAACTCAGAATCTCGTCTACTGTTTTTTTTATCATGTAATAGAAGGGGGACCTGAGAAATAATTCAAGTGACAGAGGACGAGGCTAGCATGTGCAAAGCCCTGTGTATAATCACAGGCACAGCAAGTCCTGTTCCCCATCCCATCTACCACCATCACTGGGTACAGCTGTTCACGTCCATCATGCTTGCCTGGGTGTGACTTGAGTACTAAGCCTTGCCAGGCACAGGTGTTTGGCTAAGGCCTGCTTAAATCCCACTGAGTTTTACTAAATAGAGCTTTGTTGTCATTGGTCCTGGATTACCTGAGCGCAGCTCAGCACAGCCTTTAATGAAAAAAGGAAGAGGAATAGAAGAAAATATGTAAGAAATAATAAAGGAAACTATTTTATAATGGTGTGTTTTATACAGCTTCTTTGTTTATTAATTGAATTATAACTCATATACCCTAAGTAATCCTTTCCAAGTGCCCAGTTCTGTGGTTTTTATTATGTTCACAACATTGAACAACTATCACTCCTCTCTTTTTCAAAAACATTTTTTTATGTTTCTTCAAGAAACAAGTAGACGTTTTGCAGTTAATACCAATTTCACTCACCCCCTACACTTCACCAATGGATATCCTGTATGCCTTAATGGATTTATCACATGCATGGCATAATATAAGTTGTTTTGTATATTGTGTTTTGCTTTTTTAGTTCACATTGGCAGTGCGCAAAGCTTACTGCTGATTCTGTACTTGGAGCTGACTCCTGGCAGGGCAATGTGACCATATAGTGTGCTGTTGATCGAAGTTGGGCCCTCCATGTTTTAGGCAAGTGTCCCAACTGCTGTATTTTCTCTCTGGTTCCTATTTTAAAATATCTTTAAGTCCTTAGGAATCTTTCCTTCTTCATCTTTTTATCAATATGTTTGCAAGTTTCACTATTTGGTGATCATTTATTTCTTTTGTAGATTGGAAAGTATCCATTATATGGATATGTTACATTTTGTTCACTCATCTGTTGATGGGCATTTAGACTTGTAATACATTTTGACTATCATGAATAATGCAGTTGTGAGCATCCACATATGTTTCTGTGTGGGTATAAGTATTAATTTTTTAAAATCATATCTTGGGTAGAATTTCTGCATCATACAACATCTGTATAGTTTGTCTTTCAGTGTTTTTTTTTTAAATTTAAGCTGCACTGTTTTCTTTTTCTTATTTTTTTTGGGGGGGTGGGGATGCACCCAATGATGCTCAAGGTTTATTCAGGGCTCTTCATTCAAGAATCACTTCTGGCAGGTTTCTGAGTAACGTATGTGGTGCCTGGGACTCAAACCCTGATTTCCCACATGCAGGGACGCATCGGCGTCCTCTACTGTCTCTACAGTCTTTGAAACGGCACCATTTTACAGTCCTGTCAGAAATATCTGAATATTCCAATTTTGACATATCGTTTACAAAACTTATTATTTTGCCATTTTTATCATTGATATTTTAATGGGTGTCAAGTTATATTGTTTTGGCTTTTGAATGTAGTAGGTTTTTATTTTTATTAGTTTTTTTAATGATTGTGTGTGCAGAGGACCATATGTGGTGCTGAACATGAAACCAGGATAAGTCACACATAATGAAATTCCTTGATCCCTGTACTATGACTTTGGCTCAATTATAGTGTTTCTGTGTTTCGAGTATCTTAATATACAGATAATGATCAATAGCATGATTGTCAGTTTGAAGCTAGATAGATTTCAGACAGTTGATTTTATGAACTTAAAAATATGAAGTGAAGAGGGCACAGGGTGTTCTCTAACATATTTAATAGTATTGTAATATTATGAATAATTATACATTTTTATCTTTGTATTTGGTCAATTTGAGTTCAGTACCTCACAACCAACCAGGAGTGATACCTGAGTACGGAACCAGTTGTAGACCCTGAGTACGATCCATTGTGGCTCAAAATCAAACAATTCATGAAATGAAGATGATCTCATAAGTACCTAAGTTGACAATAAAATATGATAGAACTGCCATTTTGATTATTTCTATTACAGGATAGTTTTCAGATTCATTATATGATAATTGCATGCTGAAAATCTAACATAAGACTCTGAAGTAAGGATTTGTTCCATATCATAAGTGTTACAATTGTCTTGTGAATATATTGTCTTTGTGACAGAATATAGTAATATGAACAGCAGAATTTTAATTTAATATCTGAGATATATGCACAGTTGTCCCAGGGTTTTCTATAATGTTTACAATTCTGCTTAATCTATTTATTTACATATAGATTTTCATTAACTTTATAATGTTAGAATGAAGCCTTATTGAAATTTCCTGCAGAAAAGAAATAAAATCACTGGAATACCTCTGATTCTTCATGTTGTTTGAAAAATGTCTGATATCCTGCAAGAAAGTTAGATGTCAGCAATAAAAATGTATTATCCTTGTCAGCAATACTGTAAAAAATACCATTAAAATGTTGTTTTAATCACAAAAACATGTTAGAACATAATAGGCAGAAAGGAGATCTACTTCATAATTGAACAACATGCATGTATTTCCAGTAATTTTTTGTGACATTTGATAGATAAGATTTTTTTTTAAATCTGACATCATGATAGATAGTTTACACAAGTAAATTCTTTCTTTTTTTATGTAGGAATATTGCTATTTATTCAGCCACTGATTAGCTGATTGAATTGTGCATGAACTCCACCTTACTTTTTTTTTCATTTTTTATAATTTTATTTATTGAATCATTGTGAGAGCAGTTATAAAGCTTTTGGGTCTAATTCTCAGTCATACAATGAAACACCCGTACCTTCACCAGTGCCCATTCTTCACCCCCACCAACCCCGGTATGCCCCCACCCCATACCCTCCCCCTTCCTGTGGGGCAGATGATTTCCACATTACTCTCTCTCTACTTTGATCATATTCAGTATTTTGACACCAGACCCACCATTATTATTTGAGATTTTACCCCAACACTCAGATCTGCTGAAAAGGCAACAGTAAACAATTTGTTTTCTATTGCTGGTTATGAATAACATATGATGTAGCATGACTGCAGTAGTGGCCACGCAATTTTGAAATTCCGAAATTTTAAAACAAATCTGGAGGGATTTCTGTTAAAGCCTGCTGGGTTCCAAGATTTGCTCCTGAGTCTCTGGGATCATGGCCGTTAAGCAGCTTGATCAGGATCCAGAGGCCGTTCGTGGGTGATGACTTGGGGTCTCATTGGGGTGGGGAGGACAGGACCGGCTCTACCTCATCCCGTGAGGCCCTGCGTGTCTCATCACTGGGGGCCCAAACCTGACTGTCCAATGGCCTCTGAAGGATGGCGGCCACTGGGCCGCCAGGGGAACAGGCCAAGGCATGAAACCTATTCCCACCTGGGTTGGCCCAGCACCAGTAACCTACTGCAGGAACCAGATGCATTTCTGTCAAAAGCTGTTGGGTTTCGAGATTTGTTTCTGAGTCTCTGGCATCATGGCCATTAAGCAGTTCAATCAGGAACCAGAGAGGCCATGCCTCCGATTTTATAGCTGAGCCGGAGGTGGTTTGTGGGTTTGTTTCCCACATACCTAACTTTTGAATGTTTACTTTCTTGGTAAACTTTGCCCCAAGTTTTTGGGGTCTGGCCAAAGGCACAGCAGCAATTTTGGGGTATCTGCATGTCTGAAGGTGCCGTGAGGCTGCTGATACACTCACCTCACAGGTACAGATTGACCTGTTGGCGGCACCATACCCCCGTAAATTCTTTCTTATTGGACAATTCTGTTTAAGCAAATGTACTATATTGTGTATGCACCATCAGAACTCAAGATACAGGGTGTGTCTACACACCCCCTAAATTATTTCTTGCTTCATAGTTGTATTTCTGTCCTTTCTAACTCATGAGAACCTTTTGATTGTATTTTAATAAGAAAGTACTAAGAAACATTTGAGAGGAAGCAAAGTTTAAAGATAGAATCCATATATGACCTTGGGGTGTTACATATGCTGTCTCTTCCAGTTTCCTCCTCTGTGATACAGTGTTCACAAAATTCTCTGTGACAGCATATGGGATAGGACTTGGCATATCTAAGCACTCTGGAAGTGTTTGTAAAACAAATTAGAAATATATGAGCCTCAAAGTAAAGATCTATTGGAGAAATGATTTAACCAGTGCCAACCTAGTTTCCAAAATAATAAAGACTGTTCAGAAACAGCACTTTCACAAATTGTTCGCTTAATGGTTGCATTCTTCTATTTCCTTCGACACAGATCCTTTAAATAATTCTTGAGTTTTCTTTGTGTGCACTGCATTTCAGTAGTTCTTGTCCAGCTACTTTTGAGTACCTCCTTAGTTACTGCTTTTGTCCAAATCCAGATTCTTGCCTCCTCTTCTCTGGAGATTTATGTCTCTTCCTTTGCTCACCCCAGGGTTTTCATTGTGCAGAAGTCTGAGACCTTCTTCAGCTTTTGTGCACTGCAGTTACCCTGGCTTCAGTGTTCTTCACTGAGCACACATGGCCCTTTAACCCTGATCTTTAGCCTTCACCCGATCCTGCATTCTCGACTTCTAAACATTTTATTTACTGGGCTTTGGATATTT